TGTGTCAAGGTATTGTCACTGTCCCACCGCAGCTGTGTCTTGCTTACTGAAGGTGTAGTATTGATAAATAACTTTGCTCTTAAATATAAGATTTTTTTAGGGAAATGTGGCTTTAATTTATCTCCAGAGGATTTATTTGACGTGGGCTGATGTGGCCTGTCCCGTTGTAGGAACCCGCTGGGTGTCTGTATGGGGTGTTGGCACCTTCGTGATGCCTGGGTGTGCAGTTGGCTGCTCTGGCTGTGTTTGGAGAAGAAGACTTAATGTGGAAATCAGTCACTTACCTGGTGTGCAGCATGCCTAAAGCTGGGACAGCATTCCTTTATTCTGGACTTATGGTTACTAATTGGCCCTTACCTGTGTAATCTGCCTAGTGGGAAATGGCAAGAAGCAGTAAAAGCTTTCACATGAAAGTTCTTGGGTAACTCAACCTGGCTGAGTGTTTGGGGCTCATTGCTTTGTTTTGGAAGTGATCTGGCTTCTTGCTTGTCTTCCTGTGGAAAGCTCTTGCACCCTCTTCCCCAGACACCCCCACTGTCCCCACCCTTAAGAAAAAGCAAAGGGAATTTTACTCCTGTCTGTACTGAGTGAGATGTCACACCAGCAGCAGTTGCAGCTCTCCGTGCCCGTTTGCTGTGTGTGTTTGTGACATCCAGTGGCCGTGGTGCCTGAGCAGGGGCTCAGAGGGGCTCCACATCCCAGGCAGTGCCCAGAGCCTGGCTTTGACACCAGGACCCACCTTGAGCACCACCCTGCTCCTGGCAGGAACTTGGACCGGATGAGTTGTTCTGTGCTTTGTAGCCACTTAATTATTTTGGGAGAGTTTTGAAAACTCCTTCCCCTCAGCGGATAAGAACTTGAGGTGCAGTGTTAGAATAGGAGAGAGGTCCAGTGCTTCCACACAGAAAAACGGGGAGGGTTTGGTGCTTCTGGCAGGGGAGGTGAAACTGTGTGACAAACTTACAGGAGGATTGAGGCAAGTATGGTAGAAGAAATCACTGATTGTGTTTGGTTTTGGTGTTGAGCTTTCTCCTCCTCCCTGTTCTGGCAGCTCAGTTCATTTGGGAAAATTTGTTAGGCTGGGGAGGTTTCCTAAAAGAAGGTGAAAAGTGATACAAATGTAAAATTGATTGATCTTCAAAAAGCCCCCAGATTTTGTCTCAGATCTGGAGTAGATACATTTTTAATGCCAGTTAAGTGTTGTAGGAGTATTTATGTAAAACCATTTTATATTTTTTGACATTTGACCTGTTTATTTGGAGAGTACTTTGAAATTGCAGTGATTCAGGTTGCAGGTGTCTCACCAGCAGCAGCAGTTTCTGTTGCCAGCTCCATGGGTTTTCTGTTCCCAGGTGTCTTGTGTTACAAACAGAAAATCCCACTCTGCATTCCCGCAGGTGAATGCTCAGGAGGTGTGACAACTTCATTAAATAGTTTTCAAACCTTCAAGTTCATCTTGAAAGTTTCAGTGTTTTTCATGTTTTTTGAAGCTTTATGCAATGCTGACTTTTAAACCAGAGTGTGTAAATCCCGGGTGGGCTTGGTGGAGGTTTTGTTATCTTGCTGGTTTGCTGTGCTGTGTTGTGTTTGGGACGTTTTGCTGTAATTCTGTGGTGAGTTTGCAGTGCTGGTGCCCGCTGCAGTGATGAGCGATGAGGCACTTGCATGGGGTGGTTCAGTTCCCAGCTGTGGACCCGCCTGCTGTGGAAGCCGAGTCTCGAGGCGCTCACAGGGGTGTGAGGAGAAACGGGGTTTTCTGGTACTGGAAAGCCAGGATTTGGCATTTAGTGAAGTGATCCAGATGCGGTCACTGAAGAGCATTTAAACAGCGCTTCCTGCTGCCTCGTTCCAAGCCTGCGCTGAGACATTTGGGCCCTGTTATGCAATGTTGCGATGAGTGTTTTCTTTCCGCTTATTAAAATGTTGCATAAATTTCAACACTCCTTACCAGTGGACTGAAGAAATGGATATGACAACAATGGGTGTATTGAAAAGCTTGAAGTTAAGACGTTTTAGTGGAAGATGAGGGTTTTTTTTAATCTTAGTTTGGAGTTAAACCATTAAAACTTCTCTGCAAAATAATTAGGCTTACCACCTCTCAGTGTTACAGAGAAGCTCAACCAAAACGCTGCCGTGTACGTTTTTGCCAGACCTCTGTATCCCCTGTATTGAGATTTCTCTGGAGTGAAGTTTGCGTCAAGCAGGCCCAGTTGGCTTCTGGTCTGCAAAGCTGTTAAGTTTAATCTTGTTCCAGTTTAATTTGAATGTCATGGATTGAAATTATATGCATGGCCGTTTTTCTTTTTTGCGAAGAGTTGGATTTGGAACGAAAGCAAAATGGCTCGAGGACGCAAGAGCAATAGCATCAAACAGAGCGACTTCACTAACAGCACCAAACCTCAGGATTTGCAGAGAAGACTTTTTGTCGGCAATTTGCCCACAGACCACATGACTCGAGAAGAAATGGAAGAGATATTTTCAAAATATGGCACAATCAGGGGTTAGTATATTATCTTCTGCCTTTTTGTGGCTGGGAATTCAGTAAGAAATATAACTTCCATGCTTGTCAAATGCTGTTTGATGATGACAAGAGGAGTGACTAATGTTGTTCCTAAAAAGTGACCTTTTAAAGATAATTTTCTCTGACAAAGCGATTCCTGCAGTGCAGCTGAAACGTAACGCGCGTACATCAGCGGTGTTTTAGCTGCTGGGCTTGCGGTCCTCTCAATGACTCTGTGGTCCCTTAACCAAACCTTGGTCACTTCCCAGGCTGTGTTTTGGTCACTGCCTTGTCAGAAGGCCGTTGAACTCCACGCGTGTTGGAGAGGCTTTAAGCTCTGCGCGCTGATCCTGGTGATCTTGCCTGGCCCTGGGCAGGGCCCCTCGGTGGCTCCGCGGTGGGGTTCGGTGCTGGCCGGGCGCGGGGGGTGCTGTCCCGTGGTTGTAACCGGTCTTGCCCTGCTGTTAACTCTTCCAGCCCTCAGCATGTACCATGGCTATGGGTTCGTGCAGTATGACCGTCTGGAGGACGTCCAGGCCGCTCTGGACGGTGAGAAGGGCCGCCTTTATAAAGGGTATAGATTAGGTAAGGAAACCTGCTCCATGCTCCCTACTGACCCAGCATGCGTTCTGGTAGAAAGAGGGCTTTTGTCGAGAGCTCTCTGGAAAGATGACGATGTGAAACATGCCTAAAACATGTGTTGGTCTAAAATCACATCGGCTGGGCGTGTGTTTGCCCTCCGAGTTAGCAGCTTAAGTGCTGTGTGGTTCACCTGCAGTGTTTTCTCTCGCTGCCTAGCTCTTACGCTGAACTTATTCGTGTGTGTTAGTGTTTCAGAAGCTCTTATCCTGCATAAGAAACTGTTCAACGTGTAAGCCCTGTAAAGTGGTCACTGGAACCCCATGCACGTGGGTTTAAACTCTTGTAAGCCAGCACTGGGCTTCATCTTGACAGCTTCAGAGGAATCGGTCCCTGCACTTAGCGGCTTGTTAGATAAGACATCTTAACTTGGATTTTTTTGCACGTGTGAAATCAATCTGAAAGTAGTGCTATAAATACTAGATGCTTTAAAAAGGTCACTTCCATAAAGATGAAAATAATTCTGCTAAATATGCTGGGAGCTAACTTTAACAGAGATGAATGGTTAGGAACCCAAGAGTAATCTTTTAAATGCAAGTAGAAATTACTTCTGAAGTAAGCCCATGCTAATTTGAAGAAAACCAGTTTGCCTTAAAAAGGAATGAAAGGAGCAATAAATGATAACTTGTGGGAAGGCGTTTGTGCAGTAGCAAATGTGAGACTGAAGATGGAAATGGAGGCAAAGGGATGAGGAGGGTAGAGGGATACAGGAAGAAATTATGGCCAGCACTGCTGAAGTCTGGAGCTTAAACAGGAACAACTGTGGCTCCTTTAGAGGCTCAGGTGTAGCTGTCTGGAAATAAATTTCTGACTGGAAAGGACCACCTGGTCTTCAGTTGATGGTGCTGCTGTCTAATTTTGGAGAGGCAGGAGGTGTTTTAATATCACTTCTATTTCAGTGGCAAACCAAAAAAGGTGAATCAGCAGCTGCTAAAACCACACCCCTCAAAAAAATGAACGTTTCTGGGGCTCAGTGAAATGAAGCCCAGCCTGGGCCATTAATGCTGGGTTTCCACAAGCCTTGGAGATGCGGGGAGTTCCCAGGGCCTGTCAGAGCGGGGGTGGGTTGAGGCCCTGGCAGCAGAGGGATGCTTTCTCCTGGCTGAGATGGGAAGTGGTTAATGCCAATCAAATAAATCCTGTCAGAGTTGTTCTTATGATACTGCAGGGTTTATGGCTGAAAGTAGCAGTGTTGGTGTAAGACTCCTGTAAGAGACCTGATTTGATTAAGAAACTAGAACAGTTAAAACCAAAATCAGGTTAGATGGATTTCAGATGCATCCAGGTGTAATATAGATGGAGTTGCTCAGCACTCTGCGTGGTGGCCTGGATTCCTGGCCATACAGCGCTGTTACAAGTGAGCTGCAAAACCCCACACAATTGCGTGTTAAAAAGAGTGAAATAATGAAGAGGGTGTTGCTGCTGATGTGACCCGGAGTTGTTCCTAAGGGGTGAGGCAGACCTGAGCTGTCAGTGAGGCCAGGAGCGAGGATCTGCACCCACCGGTGCTGCTGCCACCCTGGACTGGGCAACCCCATATCTGGGAGTGGGGAGGAGTTGGGACTGTGGGGCACTTCCAAACTGGAGAGGCCTCAGGGGGATCTGGAGAAGCCCCGAGAGCTGAGGGGTGCAGCAGTGACAGGCTGGGAGAGGAGCTGTGATCCAGGCCTTCAGTGGAATAGTGCTCTTAGCACAGAGGAACTTCGGGAATAACTACTGAGGGGTGGTGGTGTCTGTGCTCTGGAGATGTCAATTGGAATTGGGTGTTTGCTAAAAGACGAGCTGTAGTTCAGTGCCTCCGCTGCACCGGAGATAGCAGTGAGCCGAGACACTCATCACCCGTGTGTGTATTCAGAGGCTGCGCTGGTTGCAGTGGCCCTGTCACCTCAAAACCCTCCAGGACAGAAGACTCTTTTATTCTCCAAGTTTTGTCGATGTTCAAGTACTTAAACCTGTAAATGCTGTTGCCATTCAATAAAATGTTATTAAATCTGTTTGTTTTGCACAAGAGAAGGATCCCTGTCAAAGGTGTGTTTTTCTTCTAGTAAAATAGTTTTGTTCAGATTTAAATAACTTTTCTATTTGGAAAAAAATGTATGGTATTGAGTGTAAAAACCAACAGGTTTCTGCAATGGCATCTTAAAACAGAAAATAAAAATAATCTTAAACCAAAGAAAGCAGGTAGTGTCTTGCTTAAAGATAACGCTTGGCCTTAAGGGGGGGAATTCTCAACTAAAAGATCAGTGCAAGGAGAACAGCCGCTTCAGTTGTGCAGTCTGATAAATACAGTTACTAACAACACAATAAGGTAGGAGGCTTTGGCAGAGTTAACCGCAGCGTTGCATTGTGCCGATACATCCACAGTGGTGTTCTCATGTCTCGAATGCGGAGGAACCGCTGTCCCCCTGGGTTTGTGTCTGGGCCTGGCTCCGTGGCTGCGGGCGCTGGTGGTGCCTTTGTGGTCAGCGCTCAGATCGCACTCGCCTCCCCAGAGAGAACGCGCTGCTGCCTGGCTGACAGCAGGAGCAGAAATTACAGCTAATCCCTTAATTCTGATTTTAATAGGTATTGGGAGGTTACAGGAGGGGTTAAGAGGGAGTCTGCCTAAAGACATTGTGGTGTTTGTATTCCCTTGCAAGAGCTTTGGAAGCAGTTAATGTAAATAGCCAATAATGTTATAATTGTTGATAGATTCTCAGGGAGAAGATAGGAGCTGGGATTTTGTTCTCTTCTTTAAAAGGTTCTCAGAGTAAAACGCCTGCAGTCCTCTCTGTTTGTTCTGCCCCCTCCAGTACACTGTTTCATCTTTTTGTTTCTGCAGTATGGGTCCCAGCTGCTCCTGGGCACTTTGCTTTTTCCGGTTGAGGACAAGTTTCTTTCTTCGGCTCTTACTTCTTTGTGTTTCACTTCATGGTGTTTTTCATGGAGATGCTCAGAAGCCAGCCCATTTCCAAATTTCCCATCCATTAGCAGTGGTGCTCTGCGGGCACTGTGATGACTCCGTGGCAGGGTGAGCCCCGGGGGCAGGTTCCTGGGTGAGGAGGCAGCACCTGGTAGCACTGCAGCAGTCCCTGGAGCGCGGCTGCGGTGCCGCTTGGGAGGCCTTGGGCTGCTTTCAGCAGGGGTGGTGGCACGCTCCGGCAGCAGGGCTGGCTGTGGGCTTAGCCGGCTGGTGGCCAGCACAGTCTTCCTGCGGGGGTTTTCAGGCTCTGCTTTTTCTCCTCGAGTCCATGAGTTGCCTTCTGCTCGCTCATAGACTGCAGAAGAAAGAGTTTTCTTACGGAGCGGAGAGTCTGGATGTAGGCCTGAGCGTAAAGGGTTAAAACTCCACTCACCCTATTTTGAAGCCAGAGAAATCCATGAAAATTTCATTATGTTGTACTGTCTAAACTTAATAAAAGATTGTCAAAGTGACAATGTCTCTCTGCTGAATGGATTTTTTTTGCCCCATCGGGATGTTATTGAGCTTAAGTTGCTTTCATTTGAATTGTGCTGATGATCTTTTTTTTGTTCCATAGTATTGAACAGATGGGTTGATTATTCTTTACAGATATTAAAAAAGCAGTGGAAAGAAGAAATATGAATAAGGCTTCATCAAGGTCCAGTCCGACACGAAGGTAAAGTACCTGGAAGCAGTGAGTTGTACTTGGAAGGTCAGGCTTTTGGGGCACGAGCCCAGTGGCCTGTGCTAAATGTCCGTGTCCCTTCCCTTCCGCCACCTCCCCGGTCAAATGGAGACGCTCGGGCGCGACAGCCGGGATGTGGCTGCTCCTCTCGGGGCCCTTCTGGCGCTGACACTGCAGGAGGTGCGAGGGGGACCTCGTGTCTGCTGCTGTCACTATGGCTCCACGTTGTGTGGCAGTGCAGATCTGTGAGGACAAGTACACTTGCTCCTGCCTCGAGTATCTGAGGAGCCAAGGCACGTACAGAGAGCACCGAGGGGCTGCACCGTCCCCACCGCGGTGCTGCACAGGACTTTGGATCTTGCCTCTTCTTGTGCTGAAAGCTTCCAGTGCTGAAACCAGGCTGGAAAAAGAGTGTGAGCAAAGCACAAGGCAGAGCAAACATCTGCTGCTCTGTCCTGTCTGCACGTGTGCTCACGTTGCCGGTCCCTGGATCCATCCCCGTCTGTGCAGTGACATGCACCTGCCTGCACCTCCTGGCTTCACACCCCTCTGGGTGCAGCGCGAGCAGCTCCTGCGTGTCCTCACGTGAGTCACAGGCAGGTGGAGAAGACACAGACTGTCCTGTCACGGGAAAATGACTTCAGTCTCCTTCCCATGGCATCGCTAGGGGGCACACAAATGTGCTGTGCTCACAGCGTGTACAGGGCGAGCATCAGCTCTGCCTGCACCATAAAGCTTTCCACACAAAGGAGTGTTGCGTGTTGTCATCGAGCTCTTGCATCTGGTGTGCTCTGTTGACTTGACCTGTTAAATTACCAAAAATTGGAAAAAGTGTAACTAGCAAGACACCTCCCACCAAAACCTGGAGACTGAGTAGCTGTGATCCTTGGCATCCTCTGGGTCTCTGGTCTGTGCTGCACTTACCCTGCACAGAGCCAAATGCACTTCAGAGAACAGCACATTGGCATTGCCTGGGAAACACTTTTGGGGCTGGGGGTTCCCTTTTGGATGTGGTGAGCCTTGGGCCTGGGCAGCATTGGGTGTGCTGAGCGCTGCTGTGAGCACCCCAAGAGTGCTGCGAGCACTGATGCCATGGGCACTGGGACCTGGGTCATCCTGCAGGACGCAGGAGCAGAGCCCTGTGTCACAGCCCTGAGGAGCACTGGAGGTGCACGGGATGAGGGCATCAGTGCCGTGGGCACTGGGCTGTGACCTGGACTGCCACCACGACTGCTGAAAGTTTGGGTGCTGCTGTGACGGGCACTGGCCATGGCCATCCTGTGTGGCCAGCACCGGGGGCGCTGGCAGCAGGTGATGGGCTCTGTGAAGCACGGCTGATAGAGGAGTGCTGCGCCACGGTGATGGTGCTGGGCCAGCAGAGGAGTCCCCAGCAGATGTGGGCAGTGGCGCTGGCGTTGCAGGATTCAGCCCCTGGTGACTGAGGTGTGGAAGCCAAGGCTGCGGGGCCCGGTGCCGCTGTCTCTCCGCAGCGATGCAGGCACAAGAGCAGAGGAGACCCGTGCCACATCTGTGCTTCTGTTGCGTGTTGTTCATTCTGGATCCTTGTCTCTGCAGACAAGGAGCTCGGCGTGTTGTGGTCACCCCTGCTCCAGCTGGAATAAACGTCATATGCCAAACACTTGCACTGCATCTGGCTGTTGTGCTCTGTACCTCACAGCTACCAAAGGTCTGTTATTCAACATCTTAGAGCTAATCAGGAGTTTCCCCTGAGCGTCTGCCATCGGTCACTGCAGGCTGGGGCAGGGGATGAGGTCTCTGCGGGGATGTAGCTTCAGTACGGATCACAAGCAAGCAGAGGATTTATGTCCAGGAGGCTGAGGGAGTTCACGGTCATTTGTGTGTGAGCACAGCTTCTTTTACAGGAGAAGGCTGTGTGCTCTGGGTGGCAACGCTCTAACTTGTCCCAAGATCTGTTCTGTGCCCGACGTGCAGCAGAACGTGCACTCCTGTGTGCCCAGCACAGCGGTGTCTGACCACGCAGCAGCTCTGCACGTCCACCCCCTGCTGCCCGCTCTGCCCAGCACAACGTGGGCTCATCTGGCTCTCCCCAGGTCACTGCTGCGTGAATGCACCGGAGTGGAAACAGATGAATCTCTTGCTTACCTGTCACGAGCTAGGTTAGGCTGTTAGAGGACTCTCAGTCTGTCAAGTTTGGGAAATAAAAAGATTCAATAAGCTATTTTTTTTCTCTGATGGTTGTCAGTATCTTGGGGAACAAACATTCCAAACACACCAAGCTCGGTAGTTTCTCTTCAAGACTTTTTTATGTTTGGCTTAGCCTACAATGAAGTTATGTTTCTTTTCTGGAAAAATGACCCAGAAAAAGCCCCATTTTGGGAAAAGACGAAGACTGGAAGGTTATTCTTCTTGGCCCCTGAAGACAGCGCAGTACGGAGTCTGAATGAGGTGGATCGTTGAGATGTGATGCAGATGCCTGCTGCTGCTGAGGATCCCACGAGGTTGGGTTTCTGCCCTCGTAGCACCGTGACACGACTGCCTTTCTGTGGAAAATGTGCCTTGCACCCAGGAGACGGCGGTGGCTGTCAGTGCCTTCTGCTGGCAGCACAAACCCCTGCACCATGGGACCTGCAGGGTCTGGTCACAGCAGCTCCTTTTCAATCGTGTGCCAATACCAAACTGTTTCAGGTGTTCTGCTCTCATTGACTGCTGGATTTAACAGATCCCTTGAGTGCTCCTGGCCATTGCATATCTGTGAGCGTTAGGCTCCGCACCTTGAATTCTCTCAAAGAATTTGCAGAAACGCATTAGATGATGTGAGGCTGACGCTGGAGGACGGAGCCCTTGGAACGGTGGTTCCGAGGTGCCTGCTCACCTCTAGCACCGGGGCTCTGCGCTGTCGGCGATGCTCCATTGAGGACCTTGCTGGGTCTCCTCTGGCTGTGACAAACATTAGAATTGGGAACCTGCTCCAGGCTGCTGCAACAAACGTGCTCTGTGGGCAGGGCTTGCTGTTGTGGGATAGGAGGGAGGATGCAGCTGCTGAGAGAAGGGTCGCCCTGACACCTCAGGTAAGAGATCTGGGGGAGCGTGCTCGCGTGGCTGGCGATCTCACGCGGTTTCCCGGTGTTTTCCTCAGGGAGCCGTACGCCTACGGGGATGGCCGAGACGCCAGACGTGACCGCTCCCCGCTGCGGGGGAGCCCACGGAGAGACCCCAGGGATGGCAGAAACGGGCGAGATTCCAGAGACGCTCGAGACATGCGAGCTAGAGACATGCGCGACGCCAGAGACCACAGGGACCCGCGGGACCTGCGAGACCCCCGCGATATCAGGGATCCCAGAGACCTGCGGGACCCTCGTGATCTTAGAGACCTTCACGACCCACGAGAGCCGCTGTACGAGCGATACAGGGACCCACGGGACATGAGGAATCCGCGGGACGTGAGGGATCCGCGGGACATGAGAGACCCTCGGGACCCTTTGTACAGGTAATTTCCGGCACATTTTCATGGTGACCTCGCCTCGGTGGCTGCACTGGTTTGAGTGGTGTCAGGCAATTCAGATAAGGAAATTGCTCTGTCTGGGGACAGCTGGGTCCCTGCTTTGTGTCCTGGGGGACGGGGTGGGTGAAGGTCTGAGCGTGATGCGTTGGCCAAGGTTACTGCCTGAGAGTGTGCTGTGGGTGTTGCAGGCGAGATGAAGCTTACGACCGTTACCTTCGCATGGAAGACTTCTATCGGCGGAAGGATGACTCCTGCTACGACCGCTACAAGGAGCCTTTTGACAGAGCACCAGTGAACTCGGATGGTGAGTACCCGTAACGTTAAATGGGCAGGTTCACGTCCTCCCGCGGGAAGGGTGCCTGCAGCGCCGAGCGCGTTGTGTTCTGTGATGCTGGGTGGTTTTTGGGTTGGACAGACCGCTCCTGTGCACCCACTGCTCCGAGCAGGCCCAAAGGGCGTCACCTGTTCTGTCCCCGTGGTTTCCTCTCAGACCGCCTGAAGCGAGAGGAGCGGCGCCGGGAGGAGCTGTACCGTCAGTACTACGAGGAAATCAAGAGACGCTTTGACGCAGAGAGACCTGTGGATTGTTCTGTGATAGTGGTGAATAAACAGACCAAGTAAGAAAACAGCGATGGCAAATTTTATTACTGCATGGTAGGAGAAAATGGAATGAAACCTAGCCCTGCCTTGAGGCTGTCTTACGGGTCCTTCTTGAGGAGTGGGGCTTCAGAGCCCTCAGAAAGCGGCACCTCCTGGTGCTGCTGTTTTGGGAGTACATGTTGATGAGAGAGAAGTGCTGTACCTTGTGCTTTACCTTTGTATCCTCCTTGCCACCTATCGCTGTACTTCTGGCACTTTTCTACCTGGGATACTGGGTTAGAGCAGAGAGCAGTGAGCAGAATTAAAGAGCAAGAGGAGATGCGTTTGGAACGGCAGTGACTGCTTGTGGAGGGGTGGTTATCCTCCGAAAATGAACCCTCGATCCAGAGGTTGGGCTGTGCTGCAGTGGTTTAGGATGAGGCGCATCTGGACAGTTGAGGCACCGAGGGCAGCACAAGCAGGCGACTGCTGAGGGTTGGCTGCTGTGCTGTGAACCCCTCGCATCTCTGCAGGCATAAATTACCTCGCCTAATGAGCTCAGTTAAACACGTTTATAGGCAAGCAAATTTATAATAGTGTAAATCCCTTTGCAAACACTCTGGTTCTCAGCTAAGCAAAGGCTCGATTTGTAATTTATTTTAGTTAAACTGAAACGACTGATTCAGATGAAAATAAGGGCTTTTATGTTCTCGTAATGAGATTGCTGTGGTGCTGTCCTGCTAAACGTGATGAAGTTTGGCAAGCCGTCAGGAAGCGACTCTGGGATGATGGAGTGTGCCAGGGTTTCTGCTCCTGCGAGCGACTGATGTGTTCAACTCCGGCTTTGCTTTGTGGTAGGGAGTACGCGGAGTCGGTGGGGCGGAAGGTGCGGGATCTGGGCATGGTGGTGGACCTGATCTTCCTCAACACAGAGATGTCGCTGACGCAGGCCCTGGACGACGTGAGCAGAGGAGGGTCCCCTTTCGCCATCGTCATCACCCAGCAGCACCAAGTTCACCGCTCCTGCACCGTTAACATCATGTTTGGCACCCCACAAGGTACTGAGGTCTCGGGAGGTCCCGTGGTCACAGGACAAAGTTCATCCTTCGTGTGACATAAGTAGTTATTAACGACTTGACACCATGGCATAAAGGTTTTCATGTCACTTTATTTGTCCCTTGTCAAAACAACTGCAATTTCTGCCAAGAGAGCGTCTCGGCTGCGTTCTTAGCACCGGGTCATGCACCCCAGCGCTGGAGACGACTGCGCTGCCTTGGTAACGTCTGAGCAGCCCCGGTCCAGCCCCGGATTGTCACTTGTTCTCGAAGAGAGCACGTGTGGAATGGTGCAAATTACAGGGCAGATCTCAAATCCAAATGCGATTTCAGGGAAACAGAATAAGGAGAGTGTATTTTGTCAGGACAAAGATACGATTGTGAAACTGGGGAGTTAAAAAGATACGGTTGTTTACAGGGAGCTCTCACAACCTGTGCAGGGTTAAAGGGAGCCCCAGTGTCCTGTGGGGAGGAAGAGGGCGGCAGATTTGGTGTCTGCTGGTGTGAGAAGGGCCCAGAACTTTGGGTACTTTTTGGAAGGCAAAGGCTCTTTTGATTGCCCTGATTAAATCTGTGCTCAGGGGATGTTTGTGTGTGTTTTGTGGGGTAAATAACGACCTCGGAAACCTCGCAGAGCTGGAACTGACCGTTACTTGTTGTACTGGAGAGCTCCTTTGCTGTTCATTGCCCAGGGCAGTAAACACAGGCAGCAAAGGTCACCGAGCCAGCGCTGGTGTCCCCTCATCCCGTGTATGCATGCACTGTGTGGAGGCGTTGGCAGCACAGCACCAACACCCATGCCCATCGCTGTTCTCTGGGGAGCGCTGCGGCCTTCAGAGGGCAGCTTGGGTCTGTCTGAGGCTTTGGGAACCGTGGGAGCTGTGTCTTCAGAGCACGAATTTCTGTGAGAGGTAGAGGGAGCTGCTTCCCTTTTCCTTGGGTGCTACGGAAAAGGACGTCTCTTGAGCTGATGTGCCGTCGGCTGTGGGAGAAAAGGTCCGGGCTGTGGCCGTGAGCCTTGTGCTGGCCCTGGCAGCGGCAGTCACCGTGCCCCCGGCGCTGAGCGAGGTGTGCTGTGTGCCAGGCAAGGCAAAGCCCCGCTGCTAACGGCCCCGGGGTGTAACGACCGCGTTTCTCCTCCGCCTACGGAAAAGGACGTCTCTTGAGCTGATGTGCCGTCGGCTGTGGGAGAAAAGGTCCGGGCTGTGGCCGTGAGCCTTGTGCTGGCCCTGGCAGCGGCAGTCACCGTGCCCCCGGCGCTGAGCGAGGTGTGCTGTGTGCCAGGCAAGGCAAAGCCCCGCTGCTAACGGCCCCGGGGTGTAACGACCGCGTTTCTCCTCCGCAGAGCACCGTAACATGCCCCAGGCCGATGCC